CATATGCAAAGTGCCTGGCTGCCACCAAGGTCATTTTCTTCATTTATTCATCTTTTTGTTCACCCCCCTTCCTTTGCAAGTATTTGTCGGTATTGATTGCAGACGATACCTGCTTGTTTATAATCGGCCTTAACCTCAGGTCAAAAGCTGAAACAGTATCATAACCCTGCATTTCGTTTCCACTATATATGACGACATTCATTTTTCATAAGCTCAACGCACACTGCCAGAAGTAAACAAGAAAAACCACATTGTTCTGTAAGTTCCTTCATAATCCCTGACATGCATTTCATTAATTCACAAAACTGAATGGAACAGAATGCAGAGGTCTCGAGATGTGTCTGAACTTTTATAAACCAGACACAGTGTCATAAACTCTGGTAATGGGATAATTGAGACGTTTGTTTATACTGTAGGTCAATGACAAATAAAAGTACGGATATTTTAAAAATCTAGATTAGAACACAAGCCAAAATCTTAGAAACAGAAAAAGTACAGAAAAAGTACAGTTTTCAAGAAAAGTTTCGATTTAATGTCATGTGGTGCAATCATCAAAAAAAATGTACACATATTCATAATTATTCAAAAAAGTAATATATATATATATATATATATATATATTTAATCAATTAATTTAAATTATTTAATAATAATTAAATAATCTAATTTAATTATTTATATATATTTAACACATATTAATGATATATTTATCATTTCTAAAATATAAACACATAAAAACCTGAATTAATGGCCGTGTCATAAAAAGGTCAAACTATCTGTTATTTTAAGAGATTTTATTGACCTTGACACACAGTCATGGCTGTCTGCCCTGTTGCAGGGGTCGTATAGGCTATGCCATAATTTCCAGTCATTTCCTGTCCTCTCTGTGCCATCATTTCCTGTCCTCTATATGCCATAATTTCCTGTCATTTCCTGTTCTCTCTATGCCATCATTTCCTGTCATTTCCTGTCCTCTCTATGCCATAATTTCTTGTCATTTCCTGTTCTCTCTATTTCCTATCATTTCCTTTCCTTTCTATGCCATAATTTCCTGTCATTTCCTGTCCTATCTATGCCATCATTTCCTGTCCTCTTTATGCCATAATTTCTTTTCATTTCCTGTCCTCTCTATTTCCTGTCATTTCCGGTCCTCTCTATACCATAATTTCCAGTCATTTCATGTCCTCTCTATGCCATGATTTCCTGTTCTGTTCTATGCCATGATTTCCTGTCCTCTATATGCCATAACTTCCTGTCCTCTCCATTTCATGTCATTTCCTGTCCACTCTATGCCATGAATTCCTATCATTTCCTTTCCTCTATATGCAATGATTTCCTGTCATTTCCTCTCCTCTCTATACCATTATTTCCTATAATTTCCTTTCCTCTCTATGCCATCATTTCCTATCATTTCCTTTCCTCACTATGCCATCATTTCCTGTAATTTCCTGTCCTCTCTATGCCATGATTTCCTGTCATTTCCTGTTCCGTTCTATGCCACGATTTCCTGTCCTCTATATGCCATAACTTCCTGTCCTCTTTATTTCCTATCATTTCCTTTCCTCTCTATGCCATGATTTCCTATCATTTCCTGTCCTCTCTATGCCATCATTTCCTATAATTTCCTTTCCTCTCTATGCCATCATTTTCTGTCATTTCCTGTCCTTTCTTTGCCATTACTATCATTTCAACATCAAGTCCATCAACACCCCCAAAGCTTCACAGTCCCGGGTCGACATTTCATTCAGTAACATTAGGCATTTTTATTTATATGCTGTTTAATGTTGATGATCATGTTATTTTACACATGCATCTGCGCTTACATATGCTGTCGCTTGTTTCTGCTACTTTTTCACCTGTGTTTTAATATGGAGATTCAGTGATGTTTAATATGTTTAATATGTTTAATATTTAATATGGGGATTCAGTGATGCTGTCTTGAGTAGGTACTTATTTTGAATAAGAAGTATGTTCTATTATAGTATGAATGTAATCTGGACGTACAATATTCGCAATGTTGCCCTTATCATGTCACTACCAGTGTCAGTCAAGTCACTTCACTGCCATTCATAAATCCATTGAGTGTTTACATATTCATACAACAAAATATTCTGGGGGCTCACTGGCAACTTTTTTTTTTATATAAAACTCTGGCATGGAAAGAGTTAAAGTTTTTCTGAATAAATGAATAGATCCAGACCAAAAATGAGCATTAAGTCACTGACCTTTATATAGACCAATAATTAAAAAATGGTATGTCCTGCGAGAAGTATTAAAGGACAGACACACACATACACACCTATTCAGAATTGTTTCTCCATCTACTGACGGGCAGATGCTTTATGATTTGCCTTGAAAATGTTCTTGTGTGCTTTGCATAGCAACGACGGGAAACTGGTATAAATTCTGCACTGAATATAGAATGAATGTATTCCCATCTGACCTGTGGGCAGTAAAATTCATAAAGTGGCCCATCTTTTACAAGCACATTAACTTTTTTCTCCTCTCTCTCTCTCAATGCGGTGGTAATGCCGCCAACAGTTTGAGAAAATGGAGTTATCCTCTGTGGAATGCCTTCTCGTGATTACATCTCTGGCCTAAACAATATTTTAGCCAAATCTGTAGTTCATTTTATTGATCCTTTACAATATATTAGAATCTAATAAGCAATCTCTCTTTCAGTCATTGCTCATAGAATCATCTGACTAAAGGGTTTTCTTCAAATCCCTGCATTGTCATAGTGATAATGTTATGAAATCTGCAGTGTTTCATTGTGCCGAATGATGTAGCACTTTAGAAATGTGGTTACACAAGCCAAGAGAATTTAGGATTACAACTTGATAATCTACCCCTGCATCATTCACATGAAAGCCTTTTTAAGCTCGGTTGCTTGCCCACACTACACCTTGTCTGAATGATTTATCCAAAACGTTTGTCAAAAACTGCTTACTATCAACTTTTACGCCACTGTGGACAGCACATTTGAATCTGTCAATAATTAATTTCACACATGCTATCCATTTCATAAACACAAGCTACAATGGTGCATCACGGTCAATGGGCAAAATGTTAGTTCAGTCAAATCAATACTGTCCTTAATGATACTGGCCTGCCCTGCATGGAAAACCCTTCAGAACTAGAAAAAGATCTGCTTTTCCATTCTCATGCCCTTTTTGAACCCCCCATCTATCTTTTAAACAGACCAAGGCACGGCATGTAGTAGGCTACCTTTTGATCAGAATTTTAGAAATACCAATAATTGATAGTTTGCATGAGGGTGTCAACTCTAATCAAAGTTAATTGCGATAATTGTTTCCGAAATTAATGCAAAACACTATTGAAACATGGCTCTAATGGCAACAATTATTCAAACAGCATTGAGAAATTAAAATGTTCAATTAATCCAAAAGTCGGCTTTAAGCATATATATGGTTACACGTTAGCTAAACAAGAGTCGGAGATTGAAATGCCAAATGGATCAACGTATCTTGAAACCGGGGGTATAAACATTGCTGAAATGCAGCAGATTTACTGGAATGTATATTGTGAAGGCGGATGTCACATTTAATGGGATTCATCCAAATTGGATTGCACAACCCCAACTGTAATAAGGATGCGCTGTGCAGTTTAGACTTTTGGTTGGTGGTGGGATTTCCTCTTCAGGTTTCTTGTATTTTATTTGGTTCAAATCTGTCTTGACTAATTATGCTAAATTGAAATGAAAGTTTCACACCCTAGAAGCCATGATCCTGTGGTTCGAACACCTGTCAGAGCAGAAAGTCTTACATCTGCACATCAGTATTGAAATTAGTTTGATTTGGAGAGATATGAGTCACTTCACCTGCTATACACTGTCATTCTGATAGGATGCTCTTTCGTTAAAAAAGGTCAGAAATGAAATTCTCTGTCATTATTTACTCACTCTCATGCTTTTCTGAATCCATATGATTGAATGATGATGACTGGAGCTGTCAAGCTTCAAAGTGACAAAAGCACAATAAAACGATCATATTCATGTTATTTCCCAGCTAACAATAATACGGTTAGCTAACATTCCAATGAAGTTATGAAAAACATCGTTAAAAACGTCCAGTTTAAAAAAAAAAAAAAATGTTTTAAAACCTTTTTTCCTTAACATTTAGAGAACATTCCTTTTGATAATTTTGCTACCATTATTTGTAGAAGAGGAGGTTAGTGGCGCCATCTGCTGGAAGGCTTTATTATCCATTCAGCAAATACACCAACAAGCGACATAGTGATCATGCTCCGATCACGTTAGGCTTGTTCGACTTCATGCAGCTCTGCGCAGACCGATCGGCGGCTGACTTGAAACAGTGCATGCCGGTTAGAAATTTTGTCCGACTTGATGCAGCGCTGACTCCACGTGACTGTGACATATGCCATCAAAGTACCGCGAGAGCGTTACGAGAGTAGCCGGAGGACTCAGCCAGCGCAGCTTCTGAAGAGCGGCTGCACGAGCTCTGATGATGTCACAGCTGTTCCACGATTCGCCGGATTCACCCCATGACAACGATCACGTGCGTTTCGTGTTTATTCTCACACCTTTAGTTCCACTAAAGCTCACAAATCAGTATTTTATAACAGTAAACACTCTTTTAATGTAGTCGCAATGTTATATTGTGTCATGTTTATCATGTTTATCAAAATAAAACTGATTAAAAAACGTTGATTCCACGTCATTGATTATAGGCTTATTTTGAACTTTATTCTAGTTCAAACAGATGCTGTATGAAGCAGTAAAGTATTGAATGAAAATGTGTCTGAAATATCTGAAATATCTGTTTATTTGGCAAATGTTGCATTTATTTCACTTCAGCTGTGGTATAAGCATGCAAACACCACGTGAGCCGTCACTACGGGAACCAGAAATTGTCCGACTTCACGTCTCCGTTTGCAGCTCCTCCCCGCCTGCACGCGGCTGTTCTCGCCGATCGGTTGCATCCAGCCGCAGGCGATGTCGAACACACCTAGTGTCATGCCCCGATCATGCTGACGGGCAGCCAATCAAACCACAGCATTGGTCAGGTGACCGTGTGCAGAACTTTTAGTTTCGTTTTGCTTCATCATTAAGAGATGGTTCGCGTGTTGTTTCCTTCCAAATTCCTGCTTGAGTCGTGTGCGTTAATGACTAGAAGTAAGTGTTTATTTATCTTATATATATATCACTGTTGTTGCTGCTGATCAAGACTAGCCTCTGAGTTGTTTATATGATAAAATGAATCACGTAAGACCCGCGGCTCCGCCCAATCGAACTTTCGTAGAAACAGAAGTGCCTAAACCGAATACATTTATTTTGAATAGTGTAATGTTAACCTGTTCAGGCCATTGTGGCATATGGCCCAATAGAAATGTTAGATTATTATGTGCATGATGAATCTGTCAAATGTACACTCAATGTATATTGATCTATGCAGAGGCATGTATAGCTAGGTTCATGAATCTAATAAGTATAATGATGCACACTATCTATGTTTATTGTATTATAGTGCTTTGTGCTTTACATATGTTATGTTATTCTAGACTCATGTGATTTACGCAAGTTATTTCTTCTTTCCTTTGTTTAGACCACACAAATATAAACGCAAGCACCTAAGTTACCACTCAATCCAATGTAACCAGTGAACTTGATGGACATTAAAGTAATTTAAATGGATTTCTGTCTCCGTGTCCTTACCGACACACCATGGCGATGGCCAAGTATACCTAAGAACCAGTCCACCTTCAATACAAAATTGGTCCTTCGAGCCGGATCCGGGTCATTACCATGGCAACCCCAGAGTCGGCGATGTCAAAGTCTGCCCCTGCCTCATCCCGACGTCCAAAAAGAGCAATTCAGAGGCCTGTCTACCTAGATGACTATGTGGTTGACTATGCTGAGAACCCGTCAGGACAGGCTGTTAGACCTAAAGAGAAGGTAATGGTGACTTCAACTCCCATCTCATCTCACCACCCATTTGGAATAGCTGGATCTTCTGAGGATTTTATGCTGCAAATAATGGAAATTAACAGACAACAGAGCGAGACAGCTAGGCGTCAAACAGAACTCTTGGAGAAAGTCCTGCTACACAGCACTCCTCAAGCATCTACTCACTCCTCACAAGCATCATCCCGACATCAGACACCTAGAGCCCAGATCCTGAAATCAGTGGAGAAGGGACAGTTGAAATCCGATGTTAGCCCTGATGATGTCTGCTCAAACCGTCATTCTTGGCCACAGCCTGCCAAACCCCAAACCCCTTTCTTTGAGGAGCTTTCACAAGTATTGAGGAAAACACAAATCAGGGACACTCATTTCCAGTCACCACCTCCTGTGAGCAGAGAGAGTACCCTTTCGGCACACCAGTACGCCTCGCCATATTGCAGTTCTCGGTCAGACCCAACCAGAACCCGAGTGTACAACAGAGAAGAGCCCTGGATGAAACCATTGCCTCCTCACCCTGAACAGAGACTGAGTCAGACAACCCAGCTTCCATTTTATCAAGTATCAGCCCCAGAGACCTTTCCAGTACATAGTCAGTTTGCTTCAGAGTCTGAGCCAATGCCAAAAACTGTGTACCCAGCTACAACATCTCAGCTTAGAGCTGAGGCTGTACCCTACACCCCCCATCCCTTATCATCATACTGGGTTCCAACAGTAGAAGGCCCAACCTTCCCAGATTTCATTAAAGAAGACCGAGCCCAGTACGTGGAACTTAGAATTGCTCTGGACAACCTGCTTCATCCACAATTATCAGAGCATTATAAGTACTCAATCCTTCTTAAGCATGTGAAGGTGCCGAATGGTCACAGGTTAGTGTTAGCACATGCAGAGTCAGTCACGCCTTACACTAACGCCCTGCAAGCCCTTGACAGAAGGTATGGTCGTCCCTACCAGTTCGTACTGAAGGAAATAGAGACTTTAGAGAGCCTGCCACCTATCCGTGCTGGTGATGAGCAGGCATTCGACGACTTTTCCCTCAGAGTTCAAGCAATAGTCGGCATGCTCAAAGCCCTAAAGGAGGACGGGATTGAAGAACTGCACAGTGGGTCAAATGTGAAACGTCTTCTGAATCGTCTTCCTCGTTCACAACAAACTCAATTCAGGAGGCATCACCTTAAGAGAAATCCAGATAAGTCTAAGTTCTCCCTCCTCGAGTTTGCAGATTGGCTGCAGCTAGAAGCTAACTGTATGGAATTTGACCCAACTGATGAGATAAGAACCACAAAACGAGATCAACGGGTAGTAATTCGGGGACAAAACAAACATACCACCATACTTCATGGCGGGGAACAAAGACAAGTTACAGAAACAGTAACCAAACCCAAGGCAGTTCATCCCAAAGTACCCACCAAGCCCAAAGCCATCTGTCCGTACTGTAGTGCAGAACATTACCTTAGCCAATGTACCACATTCACAGCATTAACCAAAGAGCAAATGGTTGGCTGGATCAAAGACAATAAACGGTGCTGGAAATGTGCACGCTCCCACATGGCCAAAGATTGTGACCTGAAGAGGCCTTGCCACCTTTGCCAAGCCAAACACCTCTCCATACTCCACAACATTAACCAAAGGAAGGATGAGGTTACCAGTGAGAGCAATAGCCTGTACAACTCCACCACAGAAACTTTATTCTTGGACCAACCTCGATGTGGCGGGAAAGTGTTTCTGAAAGTAGTGAAAGTTACCATCCATCACCAGCACAAAACTTTAGAAACATTTGCTGTGCTTGATGATGGATCAGAGCGCACCATTTTGCTCGCCACAGCTGCACAACACCTCGGCTTAAAGGGTAGACCAGAGCAATTGAATTTACGGACAGTGCATCAAGACATCAGGACATTGCATGGTACTTCGGTGAACTTTAGTTTATCCACCCCGAATAACCCAAGAGAAAAGTTCAACATTGAAGGGGCCTTTACAGCAGATGAATTTGGGCTAGCAGAATACAACTACCCCGTGAATACCCTGCAGGATAGGTACAGACACCTCAGAGGCATACCAATACCACCTCTGGTCAAAGCTTGTCCCTTACTGCTTATCGGTTCAGATCATACTGAGCTCATAACCCCAATTGAGCCAGTGCGATTGGGCCCACCTGGTGGCCCAGCCGCTGTCAGAACCCGTCTCGGCTGGACCTTGCAGGGCCCCTCCAAACATCTTCAGGATCAACTCCCAGTCTCGCAGTGTCTGTTCACGTCTAATTGTTCACCTTCTGCAGAATTGTTTCATCAAGTTGAAAGGTTATGGCAGATGGACACCCTTCCTTATCGCAGTGAAAAGACGGTGATCAGGTCACAACAAGACCAAGAAGCACTGAACATGCTGGAGACACAAACAGTGCGAGTGGAAGTAGATGGAATTGAACGATACGCCACTCCACTTTTGAGAGTTAAAACAATGCCTCTGTTACATGCTCCAAAGGATGCTGTGATGGGCCACCTCCGTAACACTGAACGTCGGTTAGCCAAGGACCTGACATTAGCTAACAAGTATCAAGAAGAGATCCAAAGACTGGAGAAAGCTGGCTACGCCACTAAAATACCACCTCAAAAGGCAGCCCAGTCAACCGAATCATGGTATCTGCCACACCATATTGTGACCCACAATGGGAAACATAGAGTGGTATTCAACTGCTCGTACACCTTCAATGGGGACAATTTAAACAAGCAGTTATTACCCGGACCTACACTGGGCCCCTCTCTTCTTGGAGTGTTAATCCGCTTTAGAGAACATCGAGTAGCAATCAGTGGAGACATAAAGGGGATGTTCCACCAGATTCGCTTGCTCCCCAAAGACAAACCCCTTCTAAGGTTCTTGTGGCGGGACCTAAAGCCTGGGATCCCACCGGATGTGTACGAGTGGCAGGTCCTTCCATTTGGAACAACCTGTAGCCCCTGTTGTGCGACATTTGCAGTGCAGCGACACGTTTTCACCCATTGCCAGCAGGGTGATAAAATACGACAATCAGTTGAACGCTGCTTTTATGTTGACAACTGTTTACAGAGCACCGCATCCTCAGTTGAAGCCCGTGAGATAATCGATGGACTAAGGTCCCTACTGGCTTCAGGTGGGTTTGAAATCCGCCAATGGGCAAGCAATGAGGCCTCAGTGATTAACCATCTCCCCAAAGAGGCTAGATCAGAAAACACAGAGTTGTGGATTTCCCGCAGTCAATCAGACCCTCAAGAAATGACCCTGGGATTAAACTGGCATTGCGTACCAGACACCCTACATTACCGCCATCGTCCTTTATCCTACCATGAGGTAACGATGAGAAACATATACCGGGTCCTCGCCAGCCAGTACGACCCCTTGGGTTACATGATACCTTTCACAACTAGAGCCAAAATTCTAGTAAGACAATTGTGGGAGAAAGAACGAGAATGGGATGACCCCCTCCTTCCTTCTGAGCTGCTGCAGGCCTGGCAAAAATGGGAAGCAGAACTGGAACACCTACCACTCATCATTATACCCCGGTGTTATGTGTCAGCCACACTAGATGTCCCAGAGGTGGAACGAGAACTTCACATCTTCTGTGACGCCTCTGAGGCAGCCTATGGGTCAGTAGCATACCTCCGTACTGAACACCAAGGTCAAGTTGAGCTGGCATTCGTCCATGCCAGATCCAGAGTATCTCCAAAAAGGCAACAATCCATACCTAGGCTTGAACTATGCGCCGCCCTTACTGGAGCACAGCTGGCCAAGCTACTTCATAATGAGCTCTCACTGGAAATCGGGAGCACATTCTTGTGGAGTGACTCAACAACAGTACTCACCTGGCTGAAATCGGAGTCCTGCAGATTCAAAGTTTTTGTAGGAACCAGAGTAACGGAGATACAGGAACTTACTGAAGGTCACTGTTGGCGGTATGTGGATTCAGAAAGGAATGCTGCAGATGACATTACACGTGGCAGAACCTTGCTTGAACTAACCCAACCCAATCGATGGTGTAAGGGGCCAGACTTCCTTTACCTACCACCTGAATCATGGCCAGAAAGTCCTGCCATTGGACTGAATGAGGACTCTTCTGAGCTTCGTAAAGCAAAGTTTTGTGGCCTCACTGCAACCTGCGACGATCCTGTAACACCACTGCCAGATGCGACTCAGTTCTCAACCTTTGAGGAACTCCTGGAAGCTACCTCTAGATCCATGCATGAGGCGGCGGGAAAAACAGGTGACCCAGGAACATCGGAGTACCAGCAAGCCGAAACAAACCTATTAAGGAGAGCCCAATTAGACAGTTTCCCAACAGAATATCAAGCTCTTACAACTGGTAAGCCAATCCCTTCATCTAGTCGTTTGCTCACATTGTCACCAGAGTTAGACGAAACGACTGCACTCATCCGGGTAGGAGGACGACTACGTCAAATTACCCACTTAAGTTACAATACTGTACATCCCATAGTCTTGGACCCAAAACATCCTATAACTCGCCTCCTCATTAAGCAATTCGACACCAAACTCTGTCATCCCGGTCCAGAAAGGGTATTTGCAGAAATGCGAAGATATTACTGGATCCTCAGAGGGAGAGAAGCAATAAAGCGCCATCAACATTCCTGCGTTGAATGCCAAAGATGGAGAGCCAAACCTAATATTCCAAAGATGGCAGAACTTCCTCCCGCCAGAGTCCGCCTGCTGAAACCGGCCTTCTTTTCTACAGGGGTAGATTGTTTTGGCCCATTTCAGGTAAAACGAGGAAGGAGCAATGAAAAGAGGTGGGGAATCATTTTTAAGTGCATGACCACCCGCTGTGTCCACTTAGATCTACTTAGTAACATGGATACAGACTCCTTTTTGATGGCTCTTAGGCGCATGGTTGCTCGACGTGGAACTCCCTCCGAAATCCTAGCGGATCAAGGCACTAATTTTCGAGGAGGTGATAAAGAGCTACAGTCAAGTTTCAAGTCCATGAGCCCACATCTCCAAACCCAATTAGCGAAGCAAAGGATACAGTTCCGGTATAACCCCCCAAACGCCCCACATTTCGGAGGTATGTGGGAGCGCGAGATCCGTTCAGTTAAAACTGCCCTACATACCGTAGTAGGATCTCAGATCCTTACAGAGGAAGTCCTCCGAACATTCCTTATTGAAGTTGAGGGTATACTCAATGCAAAACCACTGGGGTATGTCTCTTCCGATGTAGCGGATCCAGATCCGGTGACCCCGAACTACCTGTTGATGGGGCGGCCAGATGCCTCGTTACCACAGGTGATTTACCCAGAATCCGAAATTCTTAGTCGGAGAAGATGGCGGCACTCACAAATATTGGCAGATCAGTTTTGGACAAGCTTTATCAAGAATTACTTACCCACGCTGCAAACACGTCAAAAATGGATGAGTGAATGCAGCAACCTCACACCTGGGACTGTCGTTATGGTAGTAGACCACCAACTTCCTCGTGCTATGTGGCCTGTCGGCGAGGTAATAACCACATATCCCGGATCGGATGGCCGGGTCCGTTCTGCGGAGATCAAGGTAAAGAACAAGCACTACCATCGACCAGTGTCTCGTCTCATCACACTACCTGCTATCCCAGATGATGACCCTAAACCAGACTAACAAAGGAAATGGAAAGTACATTTGCCAAGCAAATGTAGGGGCGGCTGTAGAAGAGGAGGTTAGTGGCGCCATCTGCTGGAAGGCTTTATTATCCATTCAGCAAATACACCAACAAGCGACATAGTGATCATGCTCCGATCACGTTGTCATGCCCCGATCATGCTGACGGGCAGCCAATCAAACCACAGCATTGGTCAGGTGACCGTGTGCAGAACTTTTAGTTTCGTTTTGCTTCATCATTAAGAGATGGTTCGCGTGTTGTTTCCTTCCAAATTCCTGCTTGAGTCGTGTGCGTTAATGACTAGAAGTAAGTGTTTATTTATCTTATATATATATCACTGTTGTTGCTGCTGATCAAGACTAGCCTCTGAGTTGTTTATATGATAAAATGAATCACGTAAGACCCGCGGCTCCGCCCAATCGAACTTTCGTAGAAACAGAAGTGCCTAAACCGAATACATTTATTTTGAATAGTGTAATGTTAACCTGTTCAGGCCATTGTGGCATATGGCCCAATAGAAATGTTAGATTATTATGTGCATGATGAATCTGTCAAATGTACACTCAATGTATATTGATCTATGCAGAGGCATGTATAGCTAGGTTCATGAATCTAATAAGTATAATGATGCACACTATCTATGTTTATTGTATTATAGTGCTTTGTGCTTTACATATGTTATGTTATTCTAGACTCATGTGATTTACGCAAGTTATTTCTTCTTTCCTTTGTTTAGACCACACAAATATAAACGCAAGCACCTAAGTTACCACTCAATCCAATGTAACCAGTGAACTTGATGGACATTAAAGTAATTTAAATGGATTTCTGTCTCCGTGTCCTTACCGACACACCATGGCGATGGCCAAGTATACCTAAGAACCAGTCCACCTTCAATACATTATTGATATAGCCTACATGTTTTTCTTCAATGATTAGACATGAATCATGAGTTCTTTTAATTCATATTCTTTCAAAGAATCAGACGATTCTGTTCACAAATCCAGTTTGAAAGCTCTTCGGTGCATTCAAAAGTATCTATTTAAAATGCTTCAAATCATAAATATTTGCTGTATTGTAAAAAAGCAATGGTTTCTTATGAGATCTGAATGGCTTTGTCCCCAAATGTCCCAAAAATGCACTTTGGTTAAAATTTGCTCTACTTAAAGAAGGAGTTCACTTTTAAAAAAACTTTTGCTGATAATTTACTCACCCCAATGTCATCCAAGATATCCATGTCTTTCTTTCTTCAGTCGAAAAGAAATTAAGGTTTTTGATGAAAACATTCCAGGATTTTCTCCATATAATGGACTTCAATGGGAACCAAACGGTTCAAGGTCCAAAAAACAGTTTCAGTGCAAACTGTTCAAAAGGTTTTAACCAATTCCAGACGATGAATAACGGTCTTATCAAGCGAAATGATCGCTCATTTAAATTTCTTTTTAAGTTTTATAAGCTCAAATGGTCGCCTTGCTCTGTTCTGTGATGCGCGTTCGTGACTCTCCTGTTCGAACTCGTTTATCAAAATGAATGAATCTTTTTCAGAGTCAGTTCGTTCATTTCGTTTGTTAAATCAACCAAATGACATGAAAAAAGATTCATTCATTTTGATGAACGAGTTCGAACAGGAGAGTCACGAACGCGCATCACAGAACAGAGCAAGGCGACCATTTGAGCTTATAAAAAATAAAACTTTTTTTTTTTTAATGAAAAAATGTTGCTTGATAAGACCCTTATTCATCGTCTTGAATCGTTTAAAGCCATTTGAACAGTTTGCCCTTTTGGACCTTGAATCGTTTGGTTCCCACTGAAGTGCATTATATGGAGAAAAATGCTGGAATGTTTTCATCAAAAACCTTAATTTCTTTTCGACTGAAGAAAGAAAGACATGGACATCTTGGATGACATGGGGGTGAGTAAATTATCAGCAAAAGTTTTTCTAAAGTGAACTACACCTTTAAGAGCTTGTTCATGACATGCAAAAATGTCACATTAGAGACCGATGATTGTACTACATAACATTTGTGTAACAAAAAGTTATTTTGAAGCATGAAAACCGCTTTTGTCCATTCAATGAAACTTGATAGGGTCCAAAACAACTCCACTGGTCCCCATTGACTTTCATTGTGTGGACAAAAAAGGGACATTTTTCAAGACATCTTCCTTTTTTTTTACACAGAATAAAGACAGTTATACAGGTTTGGAATGACATTCTTTGAAGTTTTGGCTCAACTATCTCTTAAAATGAGTAGTATTTTGCAGATCAATCTATTACTTTACAGAATCATTTCTTTGCTCACTTGACGTGCGTGTCCTCTAGACTTTCATTCAGGTAGCAGGTTCCCAGGGTCAGTGAAGACGGCGGCCCTGTGATTAATCCTGACAATGACAAAGATATTGATTATAACAAGACACACCATGTCGTCAGGCGTATTGTGAAGTGGAAAGTGCACTTTAGGGACATTCAGCAGTCAAGCGGTGGTCTGCGCTTTGCTCCCCCAGAGTGTTGCAGTGATAACGCTGACAGGAATACTGCATAACATTACGGTGCAGGTGAGAGCGCCCTTGGCTCTCAGACAGGAAGATTGTGATTGTGTAAGTCAAGATGCATTAATATGTTTTTATGTTTCCCCTCTTTATTTTCTCCCTGCCTCCAAAGCACATTAGCACATGCTGTTCTTAAAATATCCTGAGATTCATTCAAACTATTTTTATACCGTTTGGATCTCAAGTTCAACTGATTCACTGATCCGGTTAACAGATCACTGCAGGGGAAGAATGTCATTGAATACGGACTTATATATATTATATTATATATATAATATAATTTCTGTCTCTTCGCGTAAATCTATCACATTTTATGGTGCTTTTTGTCATTATGGAGCTTGACAGAGTTTTCATTTGTGGGGATGCTTCTAATGCACTCATTAGCATGAGATAAATGTTTTAGTAATCTTTATCATTTCAAATCTAAAGTCTGATGTTCTTATAGCTATCTAAGAAGTTCTCTGAACAAATGGATTTCTGATTCCAAATCCAAGAAAAGGATTTAGATAAAAAGGGCAAACAGTGGCTTGTCCCTGCATTGATCTGAGAGATTAAGTCCATGTATTAAAATGTTGAGGTTTTTTTTTTCATCAGTGTGTGGGATTTCAACAATTGTTTAATTCACACTTTCTTTTCACCGTAATAGCTGCTAAATACTTGATGAAAACAGTTCAGAAATGAATATTCATACTCAGGTACTTTCAATGGGTAGTCGTCATGCGCAGATTTTATAGCTGGAATTAGCTTGGTGTGATTTTTTTTTTTTATCCACCAAAAATACCAAACAAAATAGGGTACTGAGCCTGGCTGATATTGTTTATATATCACACCAATATTGCTTTCCAGTGTCTCCTCTGAGACGTTGCAATTACAATGGAAAACAAATGTAAAAAGTAAATAAATGAAAGCCGGCTTAATAAATTGGAACCAGGTCTATTGTCCCAGCACATTTTGTCATACGGTCCCTCTAACAAACACTGCAGAGTCAAATATAGATATTCCCCTTAGACGAGATGGAAATTGAGAGATAGAGCGGGAGAAAATGCTAGATCTGTAGGAGATATATTGGCAACACAGGAGGAACATGTTATTATAGGGCTGGATATTTCAGTAGCAGCTTGACTTTGCAGTGGTGCGGTATTCTGAACATATTTAATTGGGTCCCTGCTGATTGATTGCCATTCTTCTTCTGAAGCTCGGAGTACGTGAGAACAATATGAGAATATGATGAGATGTCACTCATGTGTGGACAGTTGTACTTGGGGGTAATATGAAAAGTGACATTAACAGCAGAGAAAATGGATTACTTTTAAATCTGAATATATGCATTAAATAGATCATTATTAATTATATCATCAAGAAACAAAGAAAAGAGCCATTCATCACTGGATGAAGAGGCATTTTTAGGGAAGATAATTAAAGGAAATAACTAAAACTAATAAACCACGAGAAAGCAAGTCTCCCTCCTGAAATGCATATACATGCATTAAATTTGAATGTTAATTTAGATTGTGTGTGTACCGAACCTCATGTTGATCCAGGGGGATTGTCACTGTTATAAATAGCCTAAACGGCTTCGGGTAAAATCATCTCCAAAATGACAGCTTGATATTTACATATAAATCTGAACATCAACATGATATTTAACATTTCCTAAATGCAATTACGTACATCAGATGGAAAATGAAAGAAATTAATTTTGACCAGCATGTAAACTATGAAGTACCAAGTAATGTAATATAATTTATGGATATATATATATATATATATATATATATATATATACATATTTGTACAGTAAAGTTATGGCAACCACATAAAAAGTAACTAAAATAAACTATTTCATAGATTAATATGAAAGGGAACTCGCCTTTGATATACTAAACAGCATAATAAATGTGACTTTTTGATTGAAGACGCCTTAACTAGGTAACTTATGTATCCCTGTCAGGTCAAAATAAAAAAAAAATGAGAAAGAATATAGCAAAAAGTACAAACTTTACTTATGCAATTTAGAATAACTGGTGGCCTACACACAGCCAGGTATGTCTCTCTCGATCTCCTAAGTGGAATCGCCCGGAGATTGACAGATTTAACAGTGATGACGTCGATTTTCAACCAAGATGTAACTCGCGTGCAGACCCGCAGCCTCAGTAGACGCTCAGACGGGCAGCACCGCTCGCGTTCTTGGGATGCACGCGGGTCCACACGATTTCTGCTGGGAAGTCAACAGAACAATGCAGTAGACTAGAGACCTCTCGCGTGATGCTGGACATATTGAGGTCTTTCCCTGGACTTTAACGGAATTACGAGGGGGAAAGTTGTTCATCTTTAGTTCGAGGCTCGTGCGTGGATGTGGGAAGAAGACATGCGGCGATTTGGCTGTTAAATATTTCGGGACGAGAATTGAGAGAGAGACTATGTCGCGGTTAATGGGACACAAAGTGTCAGATGCCGCGTTGAAACTCGTATTGAACTTTAATCTCTCCGAATAGAAACCTGTCGCGCGAGCAGTCCCACACATACCAACATAGGCTTTTTCGCATGGAAAGTGTCCTTACCGATCAGCCTGTTCTTCCTGATAATAAGGGAATGTTTATTGCGTGTTGAGTCGGGATGGATGCGCTGTTGTGAACGCGTCAGATCTTCAGAAAGATGCAGCATCTTCGTGTGGCGTGGGCGCTCGCGGGAGCGGCGCTGGGCTTTTTTCTGCTCTTCTGGATTCAAGCGCATTTCTTCGGCGAAGGTAAGCCCTAACGGTCAAATTGCCAGAATTAACTGAATGCTGAAAAAAGTGATAATTTTACGATAAATTATTAGGCCTGTAAGAAAAACATGCAGTTGTGGTTGCCAGAACTTTACCGTAAATATATAGTGATGATGTAAACATTTTTTGACTTTCGGTTTGACTATTAGCCTACGCGTTATATCTTTATTTTTTCCAAACTGTAGCCCATATACGTCATTAAATCATATAATATTAATACCAACCTATTTAAGTATTAAACAAATGATTGTTACAGTGAAATGATTGTACAGGTGCAATGGAAGGCCACATGATGATACGTCAATGAAAATTGGCCTCTACAGCAACTAGAAGACAGACCCAAACATCAGACACTAAAATTATTCAGTAAACTTAACATAAATTGCAACAAAAACTTAAACGTACGGTACATTTGTGTATGGGAGATGGGAATGCAGGATTATAAGGTGGTTTCTAAGATTTACTTACAAAAATATAATATCAGCAATATCTTACCATAAAAGTATAATGTACTGCCTTGTTAAATATACAATTTTTTATTTTCAAAAGCATTTTTTAAATATATTTTTCAGTTACAAAAACTGAACTATCAGACACTAAAATAATGCAGTCAACAATAACATAAAATACAACATAAAAAACTTAATGGATGATAATGGCTCTTTCTTCACAAATTATAAAGGAGTTTCTAAGATTTCGCTACTTAAAAAATATAATTTAAGCAATATCTTACCATAAAAGGCACCTACGCATTGTTGAATATGCAAATTGAGGAATCGTTAATATTTTTTAACAGGTCTTTTTTTGTCTTAAATGTAGGCTAATATTTACATTTACCAGTATCACGGTATATATCGCAATACCAAAGCTTCAAAATACTGGCGATGCCATTGTTATTAAACAGTAGTGTGTAAGTAATGTTGTATTTGCGGCAGTAAAACTATTAAAATAACTATTCTAAAAGTTAACTTGATGGCTGCAAAAACTATACAAGAGTCTTTTTGAGTGCCATTGCCTTTCTGCTGTCCCCTGTGCATTTAATGCTGTGTAGAATTCGTACCTTATTGAGTGTTATCCTTCAAAAGTGCGTCTGATTCCAGCTCATTTTGCAATGGAAGGTTGCACGTCATTGATTGCCCTGCAGTTTATCAGATGAAAGTGTATGGAAAGGTTTTTTAAATTAGCAGCTCAAACATCTCTATTCAACATCATAAGATCTTTATATAAGAATTTATTCTCTCAATTGGTGCTCATTTGATCACTTCTGTAACAGGTGGTTTGTTTCTAGAATCATCTTTGTGACGTTGAATGGAATTCAGTTCATCAACAGGGCATTTGCCCTCTTTTCTTATCAATCATTTCAATCCTAATTAAAATGTGACTTGCTTTATAGTCCATTTAGACTATAACATGATAGTCTAAACACAGTTTAGTAATATGACACGAGCAGGAGTGCTGTTTTCCGAATATCATGCAGCACAAATGATTTTACAGCAGTTCAATAAACAAAAAGTTATTATTAAATGACAGTATTGTTTAGACAATATTGTTTTTCCATTGAAAATTATTCTAAACAAAGCACTGTTAGGCCTACTTCATGTCAATGATTCAATGAGTTCATAAAGACAGTCATTTGCTTCGTTCCTGAATGAATGTCACCCGTTTTGACTGTTTTGACCAGAATGTCACTGGCGGTTTTAGATTCCCATTTAAAAGAAGGCCCGTTATCCCTATTTGACGTTTTTCAACATTTCTTATTTACATATTCAAAATTTTATATTTAAAACATAAATCTCATAACGTTATTGTTAATTAATAATCTCAATTGTAATTGCAGTGTAAATGCATTGATACCACCTCTGAGCAGCATTAAACGGTCAGTGTAAATACAAATCTTTTGTTTACACTAATTTCATTTGATAAGTAACAAAGCCAGTTAATTTTCATTAATAAAGTATTCACATGAAAATGTAATCTATTAGTTTTCATTTACCTCTATGTATTTATGAAAAGTTGGTCCCTTTTGTAGATTTAAATTATGAATTAACACAATACTGCATGGTATCTCGATATTACTTGGTATTGGTGGATATGTTTACGGTATCGTGACAACCCAACACATATTGCTTATATCAACAGGTCAGTATGCAAACACAATGAAATGGAAAAGAGACAAGAGTAATTTTTAAGAATATAATGTATTTCCTTATTGCACTTTTAACCCAATTTTGGGTCAAATATGGGCAGACTCAAACATTGGGTTAAAAATGTAATTTAAAAATGTAACCCAATAGCTGGGTTTGTCCATATTTGGCCAAAATTGGGTTAAAACAACCCAGCATTTTTAGTGTACCATACACATTTATTTCTTATATCTATGACACACATTCATCTGGCATCAGAATTGATATGAAAATAAATTGCGCACGACCTTTCATGTATGTGTGCACTTAAATAGCTTAAGGCCAAACCAAGGACCATCTGTTTGAATTGCTACTCCATTTATTTACTTAAGAAAATGCCATATTAATATCAATGTCCTTTACTGACTTTCTTTGCAACTAAGTAACAATCATGTAACCTAGTTTGGAGACATACGATGCATGCTGAAATGAAAACTATTCGGTTTTACAATTTGATTTATCAATTGTTTTATGATTTTGTGGATAGCATATAGACTGTATTGTGATACGCATTGTGAAGAAACCTAAAAAAGACACCTGCCTAAATTCCCAATCGGACAATCCATGAGCACTGGTGTCATTAAGGGGATAGATAGATGTATGGATGGATGGATGGATGTGATGTGACACCCTAGAACTCAGTCTGACATCTTTTGTCTTCTAGATGCCCTCAAAAGAAAAAACGATACAATTCTGCCTCATAAAATTGATCCATGTTGCATAAGGGTCTCAGAATAAGGACCACTGTGAAATAGTTCAGACATGTCTTTTAGCTCAGAGAACAGACAATTATTTTTGAATATTCAAGAACTTTCTAAATCTTTAAATACAGCATAAGGCAAGTTGGAATAGCATTTTTTAATCGAACACCCTTGCAGATGTCTTTAGTTAACCAATCAATGGACTTCTAAGTGAACCGATGCTATCATTAAGTTCAGAGTTCTTTCTGTGTGGGATATCAGTATAGGTGTAAGGTTCAACCCATAAGAGCAGTCACCCATTATGTGTGAGCTAGCTTTGAACAGCTTAAAGGTTTGAGTTGGCCTGCCGCCATGGCAAACAAAACATGTTGGACTGGTTGCCACAGTAACTGGGCTTTTAAGGAAATAATTGGAGAATGCATGGGTTTGCTTCTCACAAAGTGCCAAGGAATAGAGCAGTGACCTCCAGCATAGTGATAGAGAGAACCACAGGAGGCATCTGCCCAAACGCTTTTCATTTCCTACATAGAGAGACTTGTGCCGTGTCGGATGTTTGATATTATAATGCACCAACCTCAGACCTCAGCCAACATTTTTCCATGTATTTATTTTCTTCCTGTAGGTCAGTTTTGTTTATGCTCAATTTAGAATGGATTATTTAATGGCTTTAAAAATATAATTTAGTCAACAGTGATTGTTATAAAGAACAAATACAATTAACATCACAAAATGGAAATTGACCATATTTACTTTCCTAATACGCATTTCTGTTTTATCTTTCATTACAAAAAACTTGCTTCACCACTGCACTGAAACAACTTTCCTTTTTAGCTGATGCCACTTTTTTATGTTGCTAATACAGTAGTTTGCACAATTCCATGGCAGTAAAAATGAATTAAATAAACACTTTCATTTTTAGCTGATGCCACTTTTTAAAGATTTTGCTAATAGCACAATTTCATGTCGGTTAACAGTAATAATGTAGTATAAACCCACTTTTCCTTTAGGATGACAAGATTAATCCTTACATTTTCTTTCTTTTAAATATTTTTAATGAACTGAACAACAATCTCCATGTATAATAGCTTGTAATAAGAAGATACTTTATAAAGACAGTTGACTTCGTGTATACTTAAGAAACCACCTAGCTTTATTGGTTAACATTACATTAAACTGTTATGTGGTTGGTTTTGACATTGGCTGTCAATCATGAAGCCATTATAACTTTTTAATGACAAATTCAATTAGTACCACTGTAGTTGAGGTCACGAAAAATATTCATGACACTGTTATAATGCCTCATGACAGCCAATGTCAAAGTTGTCTTAATTTTATGTCAAGTTGTCATGACAAAGACACTGAGAGGTTATGATGTATTGGTTTATGTCAAGATTTCATAACAAAGACATCTTAAACAATATCATATTTGCATTCAAAATGTCATTATTGAGCGAATGACACTTAATGACAGTTGTCATAAACATGCATAAACCCTACTTCATATTCAAGACATATGTCATGTAATGGTTATGAAGGTGTCATGTCAGTCTTATGCACACCCCTTCAAGTGAAGTGTTACCATTAGTTTTACTTGAATAAAATGTTCGATTTTTGTGATTTTTAAATGAAAGATTAAAAGGATAAACAATGCAGATTTATTTTCACACCCTTCTTTGTTCATATTAATTCATATTCTGACCACGACTGTAATATATGAAGGGCCGGACAGAACCTTTTTAGGTTAAATAGAACCTTTTCTTATATGAGTGAAATGATGCCAGGTGCCTTCTTATCACAAAAAAAGAAGAAGAAAAAAGAAAACGGCAGTTTTGATGCTATTGGCTGCTCAGATTAGACAAAATCTCCTCTGATCAATGAGTTCAGGTCATGATGACAATGACAGCGAACTGAAAATATCTCTCAAAAAAACTACCACACAGCTAAATCATTTCAAATGGACAGTTGGCTACAAAGATTACCATTACTGTGGCCACCTGAACTCCCCCAGCAGTTGCTAATTGATGGAAATAGCTTGAAAAAGGACTGATGCCAGACTAAAATCATGGAGTGATTAACAAAGTGGAACATTGAGGGC